GGGGGGGGGGGGGGGGGGGGGGGGGGGGAGGGGGGGGAGAAAGGAGGAAGTAATAAATGCAGACTGAATTCTTTGCTTATGTTTGATTTGGTCCCTTTTCTCTCCGGAGTAGGCTGGTGGCATCTTGGAGTCATTGTGGGAAAAACTTGTAAGCCCTGAAGGAGGGCTAAACACCATTCAGATAAGAGACAAGCAAAGACCAATTTTGTTATTGCAGATGTTGTAATTACAATGTAGTTACATTATTAGATCAGAAAATGTAGCAAGATTTTGACTAGTATGTTCTTATTCTGTTGGTTTCTGTCACTTCTGTTATAGTTCCAAAAATGCAGAGATCCCAGCTCAGTGTGAAGCAGGTCAGAAACAAGCAGCTAAGTATAGCAGTGGTCAATGCTTTCTTTATTCAGGCACTGTCAAAGAAGAACTCACAGACCTAAGGATGTTGTCATATTCTATTACTGAAGGTTGAACAGAGACATAGCTGAGCTCACATGTAAGCTGTTCGTTACAAGGAGTGGTGCTAAAGTGGGCTCTTGACAAGTTAAGACCATTTTGTGGAAGGGCTGGAAATATGTTCTGCAGCTGTTAGAGGAAGAAACAGAAGACATGCTAGACATAACAGTCTAGGAAGAGATATGGACCAATTTGTCCCGTGCTACCTTGGCAAGAGCTAGAGGCAGATTCGAAGTGCAGATTCCACTATCTGCTGCTGTGGCTGAGGGAGTTGGAACTGTGATTTTTCTTTCTTTTTTCTTTCTTTCCCAACTTTCTTTGGATAACTGCTGCACTGGCATAACCTTTCTGGTTGCTGGAAGAGAGGAGGAATGTCTACTTTCTCTTGCTGTGTTGTTTACTCTTTCTTTGATCCTTCTTTGACATTCTGTCTATCGGAAGTGTTGACCTGTGTGCTCTGCTAGTGGGCAGGTTTGTGAAACTGATAAGTGTTTGATCTCTGCTGCAGCTCAGAATGAAATAGGTAAGATTTTAAGTTTCTTGTTGGAAATCACTCACATAAGCGGCTGGAATGACGCTTGTACATCTTTGTAAACAAAAAGGATGAGGCTTGTAATAGAGATGATGTGTTAGTTTAAAGGGATTAAATTGTTTTCCAAACCATGTTTGTTTAAATCCTCGAGTTAAACTTTTAAACACCTCATCTGAAGAATTTATTGCATTCCACGTGTACCTAATTATTTCTGAGTTAACCTCGTGGTACAGCTGTGGTTATTCAGAATAAATGGAGTTGAAGAACCTTTGTTCATTTGTTAAAAAGAGAGATGCATAACTGTATTCAGTATTTCAGTTGTGCACTATGAAATAGTTACGGCTAATTAACATTTGACTTTCTTTGCTTCTCCAGTGTGTTCTGCGTCTGTGGCTTTGTCTTAAAATAGTACTTTATTCTTCTGTACTTAAAAACATCAGAACTTATGTGGTGGTTGTGCTTTCATGTATATATGGTTATAATTAGGGGTTTTGCCTTAAAAGTTATATCACTGTCCCTCCTATTCTGTTGAAGTTATAGTAGGTGAAGAAGTTGTGTTGGCTGAGAGACTTTGTGTAGTTATCAGCAAATCTGATACCTCATCCAGATGCACACAGATATAGTGCAAGTAATTATTTGAGATCACTTAATTCTCCTGAATTCGTGCAGTATTTGAATATTGATAGATTAATGGCTTTAAATACTTTTGTTCAGAAGTAATAAGGGCTTGAAAAAAATTACTGGCTCCTAGACAAGGAATAAATTTTTCTGGCTAAGAGTAGCTGTGGAAAGTGAAGAGTGAATGTTCCCAGAAAGAATTTCATGGCAGCCACCAGACTGCTTGCTGTTCTGTTTTTTTCACTGTGAGAATGTTGGAAATGCATCAAAATACAGTTCTTCTGTCTGACTTCTTTGCCTCTTGGCTCCTGTAGGTATGCAACAGTTTAATTTTAGTGTCTCCTGTGAGGCATTGCAGTCTTCTGGGAATTTTGAATGCAATTTATACCATTAGTAAAATGAAAGGAAGCTGCATTTTAGGAAAATACAGTATACATGTCACCGTGGGTAGATTACCTAATTTCTTTGCTGAGATCTTGTATAACAAGACATTAACTTGATATTTCCTTTTTCTCAGTGGAGATAAGCAGAATTTTGCTTTGAACTGATGTGTTTCCACAAAATTTGTAAAAGCTTATTTATTTTTGAGACTTCTGCTTTTCTCCACTTCTGCTCTCTACATCTTCTGCTTCTCTCTTTGATACTTCAGTGATAGGCTCTAAGAAACTATATAATCAACTAAGATTTTTTCTTTTTGTTAGAAAGCAGGCTGAAAATCTTACCTAGAACTCCTCTCACCCAAAAGACAAAAATGCTCAGTTGTCTTTATATGTAACTGTTGCCTGTGATTCAACAGTCTTGCTCTGCTAGTTAACATGAATGAGAGCTTCTTGAACATTTTTATTCTGCTCAGGTTCTCATCTAACTCAATAACTTTATCTTTCAGTACCAAGATAAAGAGGAAGTTGTTTTATGGATGAATACTGTAGGGCCCTACCACAATCGCCAAGAAACATACAAATACTTCTCTCTTCCCTTCTGCGTGGGATCAAAAAAAAGCATCAGCCATTACCATGAAACCCTAGGGGAAGCACTTCAAGGAGTTGAATTGGAATTTAGTGGTCTCGACATCAAATTTAAAGGTAAGCAATTCACAGTGCCTTTAGTCACTTAAAAATATACATGAACCCTTAAAACTTGGAGCTTTTTAACTAGAAGAACTGAAAATTTGTTGCTGCTAGCAACTGAGTGTATCTTGTACCCTGCAAGGTTGTCTACAGAGACTGGCTTTTGAGTTTACAGTGAAGGTTTCATCTGTGTGCCCTTGAAGGAAAATGCTTGCAGCAGATATGTGCTTCTGAAGTAACTGATTACATTTTAAAAAGTACAACTAAGCTTTTTTGTGTTTGAGTGTTTAAATATTTGCTGGAATTAATATTCTGGAATTATTAATTCTGAAGACGTCATTTTTCCTCTGATATTGAGTACTTGCAGACTCTCTGCAATTGCAAAGGAGTAGCAAGGGCTCAACATCTCAAAATTCTACCTTAACACAAAGTTAATTATTGTATCCTTCTGGTCAGTGTCTAATTTAAAATGCCTTTGACAAACATCTTTATAGCGTTGGCCCTAACTCATCATATGCCAGTCAGGATGAAGCTGGTCTGTTTGTTTTCCTGTTGTTTCCTGCCCTCTCCATCTTTCCATACTGTTCCAGAGAAGACATTTAACTTCTTTTGCAAATACATATCTTGATATTAGGGGCATAATTTCTCTGTTTGTGTCCATTCAGATATCTGTAACTGGTAGTTGCGGAGCTTCAAATAATAACAGATTCTTTTTGTCTCTGTTGAATTTTAACATTTATAAATTTCATTCAATTTGTGTTTCTCTGTATATGTATCTTTTTTTCCTAGAACACTGCACTTCATTACATCACTAGTGCTTAACTGGATGGAGAACTTAAGCATATTATTTCTTGTCTGAGCATTTACAATCAGGTGGGATTCAGTTTCTGTAGGTTGTAAAAGTTTTATCCAAAACAGGACATCTGCAAAAGAAGAGACTTGATGATGTTTTTGTTATCAGTAGGATAACAAAAGTGGAATATAAGATTAAGTGGAATAAAAGATTTTTAGGAAGTTCATTAATACAATGAATTCTTTATAATTTTTAAAGTTGCACAGAGGATAGCATCTCCACATTAAAGGAGTTGGGTGTTGAATCTTTCCTTTTAAGGAAGGAACACCACCCGCAGGAACACTGGAAAATAGTCCCATTACTGGTTTCTAACACCTTGTAGCATGCTGACAATTTTACTTAATATAGGAGAAATAGTTTTGCTGTCAAACCTCATAGAATATGCTCAGAAACACAGAGTGGAAAGAACAGAGAAGAAAACTGGCAGCAGTTCAACACAATAAAACTTCTATTATCAGAATATGATAAATATTTGTTTTTGCAGCCAGTTTGATGTGTAATTTTTACTTCCTTTAATTGCCCCAACTTTGCAAAGAGATTGTTTTATTCCTGTGATAAGTGTACTCTCTAGGTGCAGCACCAAATTGAAAAGACTAGGTTTGTGAGTTAATGTTTACTTCTACAATGTATCCCATTCACGGAATTTTAAAAAAATTTAATTATTAACACCTTGGTGCTCAGTATAGATTGATAATCTGTATTGGGCCTGCAGTGAATTTAACTCCCAACCAAAGTGGCTACTGGTCAGATGTTCAGATGTTTTCTATAAAGCAGATGGTACGTGGTAGCTGGTTGATTACCAAGTGTGTGTATGTGATCTGTGAAGCTGTACATGTGCACTTCTAGCTTTTTTCCCTTACAATCTGTGTCCTCTGGATAAAAGATGAAGACAGTAATCTGTTTGCTGTTAGCTGGCATCCAGCAGCTTCTGCATTTCTAGCATTGGTTCATGAAATGAAATCTGAATGGGAGTCATCTGCTGTTAAAAGTATTAAAATTTTCTCTTTTTTCAAATTTCAGAGTAACACATATAAATGAATTGTAACAGTAGTTATTAGTAGTTATTTAATATGAAATTATGTAAAATTTGTGAAATCTAAGTTACCTTGATATACAGGTTTTTGAAGTAAAAAAATAGAGTAGAGGGTTGTGGTGTGAGATTGATTAATTTTTTTTTTTACAGGCTTAAAAGCTGTCATAAAATCAGTACAATTTATATCCAGTGCATGTTGGAAAATTTAGATTTCATAGACCAGCCCTTAAAATTTAGCATTTGTATAAAGAATTCTTTTCCAGTTTGGTTGTTAAAATGTGATGGTAGCGCAGTTCTTTGGCGACTCTTTAATGGCAGACCTTGTTCTTTGCTGAAGCTGTGTTCACTTTTTTTTTTTTTAAATAATTGTAACTAGATAATATCAGTGAAATTAAAATATTTTTTTTTGTAATGGATAAGTTTTATCTCAGTGTGATTGATACATGCTCTGATCTCTGCACCACCAGTGGTCCAAATGTTGCTGCAATTAAACAGAAACAGAGCTGTTGGTGTTTTTGCGGGTTGGGTTTTTCAGTTGTTTTTTGTTCTTGTTGGTTTTTTTAATGGCTAGATGCTTATGTTTTGGTACCAATAGATTCACAGGGTCTTAAGAATAAGCTATGGCTTCAAGGAGAGTTGAGTATCTAAAACCTGCAGCTGAAGTAAATTAAGAGCTGCTCAAGTCCCATTCAATAATAAACTTGTATGGATTTTCTTCGTAAATGTGTGAATCATATCTAAGTTAACAGGTAACCATGCTTTTCCTTATGTGTGTTTGGGATTATGGCAAGACTAACAATTACAGGCATTTTTTTCTCTTTAAATGAGTGTTGTATGAGTTTACAAAATAAAATTAGATTTGAATTTTATACTTCTAGGATTTTATCCTTTAGAGTGAGTAAAGGTGAATTGGAATTGTTCTAATAAAATAGCTTCTGCAATAAAAAAACAGTTCCATTCTCAACATGGTTTGACTGTACAGCAATAAGCATGAAGCTGCATGTTGTTCATCATATTCAAAGAATTATTTAGGCTGCAGCTGTTATTAACTGAAATACTAAACTGTGTAAGTAAAACTGGCAGTTGAATCACTGGGCATTGCCTGTATTTTTGAACTAGAATAAAAAAATTATGGTTCTGCAAAAATGTGTTCTTCTGAGAGTGGAATTTAGCACTTGAATTCTCATAGTACTGACTGGTGGGGCAAAACCACAGTATATTCAAGAACCCATAAATCAGTGTTTCTTTTTGTATTTAAAAATGTGTCATATGAAAGGATACGTGCAATCTTACAAGATAGCTGGATTTCCCTTCTGTTACGGTATGAATTATGTTGTTCTTTTATCACAGGCGTCAAATCTGTATAAATATCTGTGTGAATAAAGTAATGAATTATTAACATACATTGTAATATAACTTTAAGCTGGCTTAATTTACTTGTCAAGCTAAATCTAGGGTAATAATGCTTCTTAATTAATATGTCAGGTTCTTTATTCAAGTATTTGGATTGACATCCTCTGCTACACCTGAGACCTAGTAAATTATTAAGTGTATTGAACATTGGTATCGTAGTGACTTCAGTTGGAAAATTAATTTTTGATATTGCCATACAATGCCATTTAGACAAGGTTAATTTAAAGAGAAAAAGGATTTTTTAACATACTTGAATTTTACACTTGTTGGGAAGTGTTACTAAATGACCATACTTCTGATAGAGAACTCTTTGCCCAGACTTCCTTCTGCAACACCTCCTGAATATATGGCAGCCATTCAGGATGATGTTCAGTGTTGTACTAGGAGGTGGTCAGATATAATGGGGTTTTATACAGTTTACATGTTTGAATAAAACCCCATTGATCTCTGTTCATAGGAAATTTGAAATTTGGCTAAGCACACTTTTTTAATGAGTCATGCTTTCATGCTTTTTAAAAATTTGCTTAATGAGCTACAAGAGGTTATTGAAGCTGTATTACATAGCACATGTTACCTCTTTGGCATCCTTGATGTAGACACAACACAAAACATACCTTTAATGTCACATTCCTCTTGGATACACACCCTGCTAAGGACTCTTAACACATGCAAAACTTTTGATCTCGTAAAGCTATAATGAAGTAGACATCAGGTTCCCCAGCCATGATGTTCTAAGCTTCTTTCATTTAATCATTGAACACAGTGGATTTAAGCTTAACCATCTAATCCTGTCCTGTAACTAAATGACAGCTTCAGCGATCTCAGTGGCTGGTGAAAGGAGCACTTGTCTTCATTCACTTGTTTTAGGGGGAGGTGAGAGGCACTGTACCTGTGTGGTGTGGCTGAGGGTGACATCCTATACCATATGTAATGTCATGCCTGTGTTTCGTGAGAATTGAATGAGATTGTTTCTAATGATGCTGCTGGGGTTTTGTGTATGTGCCCTGGAATAACTTGTAACATACTTGATCCAGATTTGATTGTACTATCTTGATGATGTCCTTTGATATTTTATCTACCAGAAACGAGTCCTCAATTCCAGTGATGACAAAAAGAGCTGAGGGGAAGCTGGAATTCTTTACATTCACTGTGTTTCACTATTTGCAGAGTGAAGAAAACTTTACTAAGATGTGCATGAGAGGGGACTTGTCTCTAAATCTGTTGCTGCCTGAATTCTTGTAAACATGTCTTTTTTTCACTTGAGAAGGAAATATTAGGGAAGGAAACTGGGATTTGAAAGAATGACTTATGAATTGTAGATGGGGAAGAATAGCTTTCTGACTCAAAGAAGTGGATTTATTTTATTTTCAAAATAGTGGGAGTTATTGTACTAAAATAGATAATATTGTACAAAGTCTTAGGTATTTGTTAATAATTTCATACCTCTTGTTAAAGTAGAAGAGGTCTCATGATCTATCTGGGTAAATCTTCCATGAGCTAATGAATCTTAATTTAGTGTGGGTGAAGTAGCAAAAGGATACTTTAAAACCTTTTCATATCCAATCTGTGGGAAGCTTCTGCATGTGGAAGAGTAGATTTATGAAAACAATCATGTAATTGCTTTAATGGTTCCTTTTTAAATGTCCTTTTTTGTTACCTACTTGAGGATAGCCAAAGTGGCTTGAAGGCTTCATCAGTGTCCATTCCTCCATTTGCTTGGTTTGCCTTTGCTTTCAGCCAGCTCATTAATAAATCTTTAACTGTGCTTTAATTTTTTTGCAGACGATGTAATGCAGACTACTTACTGTGAAGTTGACTTGGACAAAGGAAGAAGAGATGCATTTGTGTATGCTATCAAAAATCACTATTGGTACCAGATGTATATTGATGACTTGCCAATATGGGGTGAGTGATATTATGTATAAATAACTGGATTACACCTACCTGAGTACTGTACTAGTGGGTTTTGTGGAGTCATTTAATGACTAAGCTTTGTTACAAGAACATAAAACATGCATGTAAACCAAGTTCACAAGAATGTAAACCCAAATAATACAGCCTAGAGAAGAGGAGACTGAGGTCAGACCTCCTTGTGGTCTTCAACATCCTCATGAGGGGCAGCGGAGGGGAGGGTGCTGATCTCTTCACTCTCATGACCAGTGACAGGACTCAAGGAAGTGGCATGGAACTGAGTCAGGGGAGGGAGTCAGGTTAGGTTGGGTATCAGGAAAAAGGTTTTCACCCAGATGGTGGTTGAGCACTGGAACAGGCTCCTCAGGGAAGTGGTCACAGCACCAAGCCTGACAAGAGTTCAAAAAGCGTTTGGACAATGCTCTCAGGCACACGGTGTGATTCATGGATCATACTGGGCAGGGCCAGGAGTTGGACTCAATGATCCTGATGAGTCCCTTCCAACTCAGCATATTCTATGATTCTTTGAAATAAATTGAGGGATTTTTGCATTGAAAGACCAGTAGGATGGTTTATACTAATGAATTACAAAAACAATGAAAAGCTGTTTTGTTTCTTGAGCACTGATTTAATAATAGCAAGTTCTTAGGGTTAAATTCTTTAAAATGTTTGAGTGTTAATTAGACAAGCTACATGTAAGGTCCCTGTTATTGTGTTCATGAATAGCAACTGTCATAAAACTATTTCAGAGTTTAAACTTTATTTTGCTGCTGCTTTTCTTTACTGCTAACACAAGAACTATTTGGTTTACTTTCATGGTAGTTTAGTGGCTTTTAACGGTTTTGCTTGTGTAGTTTGTGTTTACATGAAGGAGTTTTATTTTACTTGTTTTTTTACAATTCTTAAAATTACTTGTGCTGAGTATTATTAATCTGGGCTTAGAAGCACTTGTGTCTTGAATAAAAATGTGTGTATCCTTAATGCCATTGTCTCCTAAGGTCTCTGTGTTTTGTTACTCCTTTGTGACTTGTAATCATATTCCTAGTAAAGAGTCCTCTGCAGATTGCACTTTGCATTGATAGCAGTCAGACTCCCCAAGCCCTAATCTCCCAGTTGTAGGTATAAACTGAAAGGAAATAAAAAATGTTTTGTTAAGGTAAGGTTTTTGTTGCCTGTGATCAATGAAAGAGGTAAACCTGCTCAAAATAAACAAAATCCTGCAACACCTACAAAAATGTGGTTCCAGTTGTGTGAGAAAAGTCCTTTGATAGGTGTTATGAATAATGCTACCCATCGTTCATTCATTCTGACAAAGGGGACTTTTTTTTTAGCTCTTATAATTTTAATTTGTTCTAGAAGGTATCTGTCTAATGAACAAATGAACATGAGCCCCAGACAGAAACATTAGCATTTTATAGATTTATTTATTTATTATTTATCTGGTAGTCAGGAAAGTTCTTTTTTGGTTGGTTGGTTGGTTTTTATTTATTGGTTTGGTTTTGTTGTTGGATTTTTTGTTGTTGTTTTGTGTTTTAATGTGAATATTTTTGCTTGACAAGAGAAATACTTTTATATTGATTTTATTCATTTCAGGTGATTTACTTGTTTTGTATAACAGGTCTGTGGCAGGGCTTGGAGTAGACCTGAATTGCTGTACGTGGCCTTTACTGAACTGCTTGTGTAATTGCTGGTAGGCTTTTTAAAAGCATGCATGACTGACAGTTGTTGCTGCAATATTTTTTTGGGTTTTTGGCCTTTCAGCAAAAGATCAGTGAATGATTTTTCTAGGCTAGTGGCAGGCATGTAGGCTTTTGATTGCCGAAGGATGATGGATGCTAAGCTAAATTCTTTGGAGTCCTGTGTGGCTTTCTTTTTTAGGATTGATTTTTCTGGTCATGTTTTATCACCTCAAATGTCAAAGAACAAACCTACTTACTAAATCTTCTATACATTGACTAAATTTTATGCTCTCAGCTAAAAAATCTGTTTTCCTGTGATTCCAGTGTTTTTGATGTTTTTCAGTAGTATGCTTTGTATGCCCAACAAATCAGCTAACAAACATGTAGAACCTAGGTATCATCTTTGTAAGATATCAAGAGGCTGGTTTTGGTGGTTGTTGGGAAGGAGGACCTCAAGCTGTGGCATGTAATAGATTGACTGCAGCATCATAAGTATTGATAATATTATGCAAGGATGCAATTTGATATCAGGTGTGAAAGCAAGCAGTGCTGACAATTTTGGTCTGTCTGTGAGGGTTAGGTAGAACTAGCAGAACTAGCAGATTGGTCAATCAATATTAGCCAGTTTTTTATTCAGAAAAGTTGTTCAGTTCTTGATGGGGGGCTGAGAAAGGAGTGGATGCACCTGAACTGATCAGAAGTGTTTATCTGCAAGTCTGAATGACTCTTTTGGATCTTTGTTTCCAAGTACAGTTTAGAAAACTGTGAGTATGTCTTATCTGCAATAATTGTGGCACTGAGACTTGCTACTCATTGCACAGTTTTTATTGTAAATATTTCTGCTATGAATGTGGCATGAGTGATACTGTACATGTGGCTGTGCCATTTTGCTGCTGTTTTTGAGTGTGTTGGATAGACTTGCCTAGTGGCACATAAAGTGGTGGCAGATACTAAAGAAAAATATCTTTTGCTAAGTGCATTCAGATAAAATGATTCCATTTTGTTTTTTCCTGAATTGCTGTCCCACAGTGGAGAGACAAGGCTTGACTGTTTCTGGACATTCCCTAAGTATATGAGGCACTGTGTTAGTTCACTCCTTCAGGGAGTGATTGATCAGAATGTCCTTTTAGGTAATTTAGGGGTCTACGTTGCCATGGTTTTGGATAATACCATGGGCCCAGATGGTATGCCAGGTGCTGGGCTGTATGGCATAGGTACAAACTGGCACGTGTGCCGTGTGGATGGCATATACAAGGCAATCCTGACAGATGAGCATGAGTAAAAAACATGACAGAAAAACACCACCTTGCAAATTAAAAAACACAAGTGATGCACAAGTGCCATTCCTTCATATACCTGCTGCTTTGTGATAGCCTGTTCTATATCCTTCACCTACTTGTTCTCCCATTCCCCCCACCTTTTTATATCTTGAGTACTGCTTTTACTGTGAGTTTCCATCTTGTGCATCTTGTATGTGATCTTTGGTATGATGGTCTTGATATCAAAGGTGACACTTGTAGCCTGTGAACTTGGTGACTGCCAGACTTTTTTTTTCTCTCCAGCATGGTACAGTCTCTGGAATTTTTCTGTAGTAGATGAGACATTTTGCATTATCTTACTGAAAATGAAGAACTTAATCACAGAATGGTTTGAGTTGGATAGGACCATAAAGATCATCTAGTTTCAACCCCACTGCCATAGGCAGGGACACTTTCACTAGATCAGGTTGCTCAGAGCTCCATCCAACCTGACCTTGAACACTTCCAGGGATTGGGCATCCACAACTTCTCTGGGCGATTTGTTCCAGTGCCTCACCACCCTTACAGGAAAGAATTTCTTGCAAATATACGTTCTTGGCAAGCAGTGAAAACTTGTGTGCAAATGAGAGCAAAAAGCATGTGTTGGGGAGTCAGCTAAAGAGGATTACAGATGAAAGTAAAATTTTTAAGAGGAAGAAAAAAAAGTTAAGAGGTAGATAGATGGGAGATTGGAAATTATAGAGGTCTTGGCTAAGTTGTCTTCAGGGATATTGGATCTGTATTTAGCTAGTTGTTTATCTGGTAAGAATTGCAAATGAAGGTAGAGGAACTGTTGTTGCATCTTCTGCAGTGTTTGTAGCTGCATGTTTTTTCATTTAATGCCATTACAGAATTCTTGGAGAGACCTGTGGACTGACGGTAATCCAGGTATTAGAGTGGAAAAGAAGAGCATAATGTCTTCTGTGTTTTCTTTAGTTATGTTGATTTTTTTAGCTGGCAAAACTTTCATAATGCATATTTTTAAAAAATAAATGCACAATATCTGAAAACATGCCTATAATAGATGCTTACGCTTGTTTCCTATGCAGGGATTGTTGGAGAAGCAGATGAAAATGGAGAAGATTATTACCTTTGGACTTACAAAAAACTTGAAATTGGTTACAATGGAAATAGAATTGTAGATGTCAATCTGACCAGTGAAGGAAAGGTGAAATTGGTACCAAACACAAAAATCCAGATGTCATATTCAGTAAGTAATTTGGTGATGCACCTGTGATAAGAAATTCTGCATGGTGAAATAGCTCAGAAATAGGTACTTCTATACTTATAGTATGTACTGCTACACTGGGCTATATTAGAGGAAGATGCATCTTCATTCCTTCAAATATTTTGTTTAATTGCTGAAAAACCTTGGTAGATTTATTAATAACAAATGTAAAATTAAGATTTTTGAAGCACTCCAAACGCTGAAGCTTCTATTATCTGCAGAATATGTTTTGGTGGGAAAGGAAGGTGTCCCAAAAGGTAGGGAGACTAGAAGTATAGAGGATCCTCAAGTAGATACACATTTTCTTCATGTTTGGACCTCTGACATTTGCATCATAGGGTTGAACTGGATTCTGAACTAGGGCAAAAACCCCACTGTAAGCCTTTATGCTTTGCAAGCCATTACTATCAAAGCTTATTTTCTTTTTGCAATTCCAGTAGAAATGTCTTATATATATAACCTTATTAATGAGGTTATAAGGTTTTTTTCTGAAGCTCTCTCCTATCATATTGAATTGCTGTCATAAAAGGTAATGAATAAACAACATTTGCTGATTGAGATAACAATTTTTCAGTTTTCCTCCTTATTTAGTTGATGTTACTTAAATCTGTAATGATTCACTTGTCATGTTCACCACATTTGTATACTGAAACTAGTTCTCAATGCATTGCTTTTCTACAATGTGTTAGCAGCAGATGTCAGCATAAGATTTTATTTCAGAGGATATTCTTGCTGCTATTACATTGGTCTTGTGCTGAGTAGGTTGTATAGTTTGAAGTGCAGATAATTAGGTTTTGTACGTGCTTTTTAGAATTACATTTACACTATAGTAGAAATTCAATAGTAGAAATTCTGAAATTGCTATTTCAAATTCTACCAGCATTGTGAAGTCCATTTGCTCTGAATTTTAAGTTGGACAGCACTGAGTAGCTACCAGTAATGAAAATAACATTAGATGTTCTCTTAAAATACTTTTTAGTGTACAAAGCTCAAGACTTACCTATCCAGTTTTGTTGGCACCACTGGGCAATTGCTGGGCTGGCCTGTGTGTGCTGTTTAATTCACAAATTGTCTCTGGTGGATTTGTTCTAAGCACTGCTTCATAGTGACAGATGCTCTAATGAGAAATGTATCTGCTTAACAAAATGTTGAAAGCTATTAATGTTTTGAGCTACTAATTGAATAAGTTTGTAATTTGAACTGAAGAACATTCATATCAAACCTCAAAGTGAGTAGTACTCAAGTCTTTGGGTTTTTAGTCTGTCTCAGGACGGTGGTGAGCAATTGGGGTATTTAATCTACATTTAATCTACTTTCTTCTATACTCAGTAAGAGAACATATGTTGGAAAGGATAGTTGCTTCTCATGTGTTTTAAAAAGATAGGCACAAGGGGGCTGCATTTGTTTCAATATCACTGAAAATCCGGATATTTTTAAATTTTGGCATGCTTTTGAAAAAAATTTTAGGATAGGCTTGTTTTAATTTTTTAATGCAGTTTCAGAAATAAAATAAATCTTGCAAAAATTCTCAAAAATACTTTGTGCTACTGTATTAGCACCATATATTTAATTAATACAATTAAATTTTCCAAATTCAAAGGAGTCGTCTATGCAGCTTGTGGAGTAAATGATAGCAGTAATATCCTGTTACCCTGTGATAGTATGTCCATAAACACATACTTTTCCAGCTGGTTAGAGTTATTTATTGGCAGTTGAAGTGTCTAGATTGCAGAATCCTATGGTCTTACAGGTTTTGGGCTGCAGCTTTTAGTTTTGTAAGCTTTTAAAATTTTGATGTCTGTCTATTAGGGTCCAGCTTGATCTCTTTTATCCAGCTCCTTTCCAGCGGGCTTGTATCTCAGTTCATGCCTTTTTTCCTATTGGCATCTGTTTCAAATCTTTTCTTATATCGTCTCATTTCCCACACTTCTGCTAGACTGCATCTTTTTCCTTGGGCACTATACTCAGAGAATTTAGGTACAGGTGATTTCACTGAATACCAGTCTCAGTTCATGGTAGCCAAACAGATTTCAGCTGCCTTTGGGGGAGCAGAAGCACACGGTGTTGTTATTGCTCAGTGAACACTGGCGATGTTCTCCACAAGCCTTGCTTCATAAAATGCAGCACATGGAAATGTTGAGAAAAGGCAATGTGCTGCCAGCAAAAAAAACCCCCAACAAACTGAAAAAAAAATTGAGTGCTTTCTAGCATGTCATTCTCAAACATATTTAAACATGCTTTCTTTCTTTAACCTTTGTTCTGAAATCCTGAGGAAATTCGGGAAGATTTTTCAAAGGTTCTACAAGTATCTCCTGTGGGGAAAAAACATCATCTTTGAACTATTCATTTTACAAAACTGAAAAATAAGAACATTTGGTAGATTTGGGGGTTTGTGCCTTCAGTATGAGTATCTTCATGGGCTCCTTCTATAATCATGAAAAAGCTTGGTTGTATTTGACAACAAGTTTGCATCTTTGGTTAGCCTCACAGAATGGTGAGAAATGAGACAGTGCAAGACTGATTCTTCCTTGTTTTTACACATAAGCATATATGAGAATAGATCCATGAGGAAAGGCGGCTGATGTTCATTCCATGTATGACCTGTAGATGCCAGTCTTTAAGAACATCATTCCGTTGGTTTTGCCAAAACCTGGATTCATATTGAAAAAAACATCCGAAGTGGGTGGTTTTTAATATGCCTTCTGGGTTTCAGCATGTGAGTACAGATGAACATACTATAATGAGCTTTTAAAATGTAAACTTTTCTCTCTCTAGGTGAAATGGAAGAAATCAGATGTGAAGTTCGAAGACCGATTTGACAAATATCTTGACCCATCTTTCTTTCAGCACAGAGTATGTATTGTTCTAAGAAACCTCACAAAATAACCCTTTGAAATGGTTGCTTTAGTTCAGAAGATGTCATGGAATTTTTGGATGACACCTTTGGTTTTTCAGATGTCCCAGGTGTTCCGGGGCAATGAAACAGGGGGATCTAGGTCTAGTTTTTAAGTGGCAGTGTTGTTGCTAAAAAAAAGGATGGCTCCAGTCTTTTAGAGTGCTTCAGTAAGTATGCAGGCAAGCTTCAGACTTGCAGAATATACATGGCAGTTCAAGAAGATATATTCACATGATGAGAAGCAATGATACTTCAGGGAAACTGTGCAGCCGTGTAGGCTGAATAACTGCAGTTGGCCCTAGGTATGCTTCTTTCTGAAGTAAATGCAAAGCAAAAGGCATTAGCCTAAAGCAGTTGGTGGTATCAGTTGTGATAGTTTAAATCTGGGGTTGTAGTCTCCTTAAGGGTAATATAGTGAGCTGTGCAACTTTCTGAAAGTAGAGATTTCGCATTCTGTTTGGAGCCCAGTGAAAACCAGAAGTTATGCTTGTCAGAGGAAAAATAATGCTGCTGCAGATTTTGATCCTGTGCAAAGCAATAGTTCCTTTGACTTTTAGGCTGTGAGCGTCTCTTTTGCTACTTAAACTTCTTCTCCAGGAAGGCAGCAGTACATCGTGTTGCCTCGTGTTTACCAAGGGAGCATGCACAGCCAGTTGTTCAAAATTAGCTGCTGCTTAGCTAAGCTGTGATAACTTTGTCGTGGGCAAGGCTGGCTCCTGAAAAGCTTCATGTGCCAGTTTTTGAGTGACTTTCTGAAAATGTAGTCTTACTTACAGTATGGTTTATTGTTACTTAGCTGGTGCTGACAAGCTGTCCTGCTAGGCATTTATCCTTATTGGAACAATTTGAAACACATTTACAGTTCTAAACCTTAAGGGTGTGTTTTCTTTTTGTAGATTCACTGGTTTTCAATTTTCAATTCTTTTATGATGGTGATCTTTCTGGTTGGCTTAGTGTCTATGATATTAATGAGAACTTTGCGAAAAGATTATGCAAGATACAGCAAGGAGGAAGAAATGGATGATATGGTAAGATCTGTGTTCATGTTTTAAAAACTTTTTTTTTAAGACTTGTTGTTTTCTTGTCATACATTCATTGTGTTAGGAGCTCTGAATGGCTTTCCTCAGTTGGACAGAAAACTGCCTTTTGTGTGTCTTGAAAGTGTTGCTGGTTTTCTTTATAACATGCTCCTAGGTTGCAACCCAAAATTCTTCCATAGTCACTGTGTTAATGTTCATATCCAACCTTAGGTTAAATGAAGTCTTTTCTGATTTGGTAGTGTAAACCTGCATATACTCCTAAATACTTCAGAGGATTTAGGGACAGGGAGGGATTCTGATAGATTTTACTGCATCGTACATTCCAGTAGTCATTTTTTGTTGTCTTCCATAAGCATCTGAAAAGTAAACTTTTCTCCTGGGTTTGATGCATTCAGAAGAGAAGACACACTTGCACTTGAAGTTGCTTTAATAGATCAGACCTTTTGTTTATATCTAGCTTGTGTGTTTGTCATTAATTGTCATGACTAGACTTAAAATTTGTTGTTGTTGTTCCCAGGACAGAGATCTAGGTGATGAGTATGGGTGGAAGCAGGTCCATGGAGATGTGTTTAGACCATCCAGTCATCCTCTAATATTTTCATCGCTTATTGGTTCTGGCTGTCAAATTTTTGCTGTGTCTCTTATAGTCATTGTTGTTGCAATGATAGAAGATTTATACACAGAGTAAGTATAATTGTGTCATGTCTTCCATATATAAATGTTTAAATGAACAAAATAATTACAGAAATTCAGTTCTAACTGGCCTGAAAAAAGTGTTTGAGAGTCTTTAGTCATTCTCTGTAGATCAGATGTGATATTAAGAAGTGATCTTTTAATTTGTAATGAAACTTTGTCCTACTGTTATCACATGAGTTGGTCTGCTTTGATTTTCTCTTTTAATGCTTACTTTTTGCATGATTTATTATGAAAGTAGTTTGTTGTTCTGCAGAGTCAGATGTAGATGATATGGGAAATAAATGTTAAAAGGTACATGTTTCATCCCTGGTTTCATTCAGATGGACAAGATATTACTATATTTCTTTCCCTACCATGTCCTGTAAAGGCTGAAGTAAGAGTGTATTCTGTTGTGAATAGTCCTATTTGCTACTGACAATGCATTAAGTCAATCTTATCCACAAGTCTTCTCAGGAATGGAGATGTACTTTCTGAAGCTCTTTGAACACAGTGCTCGGCCTGTGTTGATGTAAAACCTCCTCCAGCAATAGGTGGGCTGTGGTCCTGACTGGAGAGAATTCATTTAAAACAAACAAATAGTACTCAAGTTTAAATTTAACACACTACTTGCAATTCACCTGTTTTCTTCTTTGCCTTTTATCTGTTAGAGATTTTTGGGTTACTCGTTTGTGTTTTGGTTTGCTTGTTTGTTTTTTTTTTCTGGTTGGTTATTTTCTTACAAGTGCTTTGTTTTAAGCAATGACTAAACTTTCAAATCTCTGTTCTTCTTGAATTTCACCTGTAACTATTGATTTTAACAAGTTGTAATACTTCTAATGTGCCACTAGAGAGAACTCTTGTTTTTGAATTTAGCTGCCTTTTAATGGTGTGTGTAAAAAGCCACTCTGTAGTTACCAGCATCTTGGCATATTTCCATTTCTTGTACGGTGTTATTCCCCTCCTTGTGCCCCATGGTTATATTTCTGTATAGGTGTACATACACACTTCTAATTGTGCAGCATGTCAGCCCTTCAGGAAATTAAACCATTTTAGAATGTTTGTGCACTGTAAGGGAAGCTGTAAGTTAGTAATGGCAATTGTGGAATGTGTCAGAACAGTAATTTTAAAAAAGATATGTGCACTTAGTCTTTTATTGTGATAAGCCTTTCTATCACTTTCAAAATGAATTTAATTCTGGTCAAATGTAATGGAACAATTTGACCAAATCTAGTGCAGACAATTTATATATTTAGGAAAATAGCGATGTGAGTGAAGAAGGCTGTAAACCAGAATTTCAAGAATGATTGCCTGTTACTGTTCTTCAAGTCTGTTAAGCTCCTAGCCATCATGCAGCTGATGCCAACTAAAAGTCTCACAGTGAAATTTGGTCATGTCAGTTATTAATTTATTAATACTGATTTGTGTTTTGAGAAGCATTTTCATTAGAGTATTTGAAATGTGAGTAAGCTCAGAAATAAGAAATTTTGAGATAATTTTAGATTAACAACTCTGGTCTTTTTACTGGTAGCCTGGTTTTACATGTGCCACTTCAGACTGTACTTGGTCTTTGGAGTTTTGCATGTTTCTAAATTGTGTTAAGTTAGGATAAGATTTTAAGAAGCAAATGTTAGTAAAGCAATCTTCAGTGTGTGTGACCATCAGATATATTTGCTTTGGTCGTGCAGTCATGGAAGCCTAAGTGCTAAAGATGTCTTCTTTGAGTACAGCAAGCATCCAGTAGTGGTGCCTCAAAAACCAAAATGGCAGTAGACTAGAATCTCTCAGAACAACTGCTTTGAAGAAAGTACAGCAAGCTGTCTGAAAACCTACTGCTATTTGCTGTTGAAGAATAGCAGAGGGATGTGGGGAAACAACTCTATTTTAATTAATAACATTTATATCTTGCTATTCTTAGACATGAATTTAAAAAATGTATTTGGAAATGGCTTTTGTGATTTAAAATTATTACCTTTGGCTGTAAAATTTCAGAAAAATTATGCCAAAATGAGTACTCCAACATTTAATGAGGTGATAATTTAAAAATTACTAAGTTCTTCTGATTGCACTACTCAATGCTGATGTGTGACTTCATTATGGTATTTATAGTTTCTAAATCTAATTTTCTGCAAGATGAACACTTTCTGTCTTAAAAGTTAATTTCTGAGGGCTGGCAGAAACATTATTCACAATCTTAGTATATTTTTTTAATACTGGCCTTTTCACATTTTATTTTCAGTTGAATCTTAGGCTTAATGTTTGTCATGTAAATAGTTATTTATACACAAAGTACACACATCCAAATGTCAGAATATTTTTATCAGAGGGGAAGTGTTTGTACTCCAGTGAAAATAAATGCATGTTAGAAAAGAATGTAGTATGTCAAAACTCTTTTTCCCACATTGAATTAGGGTTGGACAAAAGCTTTGGATACAAACAGTTCTCATTCTTATGCAGATTTCCCAATTTAAGCACTGTTAAGTTTTTGTATTACATAAAAATATTAAATAACTGCTTCTGCTAAAAATACATGCCTTGCAGTATTTTTTTTTTTGCTCTAATCATGTTTGGTTTTATATGCCATTTACCAAAAAAATCCCTTCTCGTAGGAGAGGATCAATGCTTAGCACAGCTATATTTGTTTATGCTGCGACATCGCCAGTGAATGGATATTTTGGAGGAAGCCTTTATGCTAGACAAGGAGGTAAATTGTTTTCATGTTTCAGCATTTTCATTGTATTGTTAAATGGAGAAGTTATTATTTTCTGATTTGCGCCAATATAGAAGTGTCCTCATGGAGTTAGGTCCTTCAGATGGAATCCATTAAATTCTGAATAAAAAACCATTTTGAGTATATTTAACTTTCATATTATCTACTCAGTATTGGCTGCACTTTCTAAAGAGGTAACTGAAGTCTTAGGTTAATTTAAAAGTAATAAGAGCTGAAAAACTGTTAACAGTTGTGACTTATGAATTGCTTGTTATACTCTTGTATATAATTGTTTGGCTCAAGACATCCAGAGTTTAATAGCCTCTCCCTTTTCTGTTACACAATGTTAAACAGCTCATGTCATCTTCTCCAGATGACTCCTACAGGGTTCTCTTCTGTAGGTACTAGGGGGTTATGTAAGGCTACGAAAAGGATAAGTATAGATTATTTACTATTATTACCATTAATTTGGGATGGGAAAAACTGTTTATATCATCTTTTAAAGAAGGTTATTCTGCTTTCCACTATGTACTTGACTTTATACTTTGCAAATCAAAATGGGCATCAGTAGAGAGCAGAAGCCAAATAAAATTGACATAGCAGATATGGGCAGGCTGTCTTCAAATGCTCCCCACTGTGCCTCTGAGCTATGACCAGTTAGATCCTTGCAGTCCACTAGCTTCATCCATTCCCTATGCTGCAATAAAAGAGTAATCAATATCTATTATCTTCTAGAGTACTTTAGAAAAAATAATTCTGGGAAGTTTGCAAAAGAAAATTTATGTCTTTTTAGCCTGATGTACTTGTTAGTATTCAATCTTGGCTGTACTCTTGAGTTTGGAGGCTAGATGTTTCTTTTCGTGTGGCTTGTTTATAAACCTAGCAATTTGTGCAAAACCAGATCTAGGCAGATAAGGGTTGCTGGTCTGAAATGTACCATACTGTATAGTTGAGCCAGATTTGCCTGTTTTTTTTGCAGATCAAACATATATCAAGCCGTGAAATGCTGATTATGTTGGCTCATGGTGAAAAATATATATATGATGGTCTTGAAAAAAAAAAGCTGTATTTTGATTGTTTGTATTTACTGCATATTAATATTATGGTGTATTAAATTTAATTATAGACAGTATTTAAGAGCATAAAAAGAAAGTGCAAGTTTTTAAGGCATTGCCCAAGAGGGTTTCTTTGAGCTCCTTAGGGAGCTCTAAACTTAGTAATAACTGCTAACAAGTGTCTCTGTTCCCTTGATGCTTGGGGTTTTGAAATCACTTTCTTTCTACCTTTTTTGCTGTTGAAGATGTCAAGAGTTCAATTCTGCTGTGTGCTAAATCCTGTGGCAGCTTGCTGTATACCAGGGATAGCCAGTTCCTTAGTGCATCCTGAATGTGTGGAAGCAGTTTATTTGGGTCAAGACAACGCGGAGCAGGTGCTGCCAGGAAGCAGCTGTAGCGCTGAGTTGTCCTGGGAGCAGTGCTGAGCTCTCCTGTGCTCTCGGAGTGTGAGCAGGCTCTGCACAGGGCCAGTTCTGCTGTCTCTGTCTCTACTAATCTGCAGCCTACATACACACTTAGGTTTCATACCCCAGCTCCTTTGGCCAGCTTAGTCAGCATATGCTGTTCTTCAGCTGCAACGTTCTCACGCTGTATCGCTCTTCCTATCTGTTCAGCTGGCCTACTAATTGATTAATGTGAGTGACCGGGAGTCAAATGAAACTGTTAGTTCACTCTTGGCTCTTGTATTGATGTAGTATGTTGATATTTATTTCTTTCACCTTTTTGTGGGAGAAGTAGTCTAGCATCTAAATCCTGGAGAGCTTGCTAATACATTTTTAAACAAAATGCTGTGTGTCACCAGTCTCATTGGAATGTCCCTTCTTACAGGAAGGCGATGGATAAAGCAGATGTTCATCGGAGCCTTCCTCATTCCAGCAATGGTGTGTGGAACTGCCTTCTTCATTAACTTCATTGCCATCTATTATCATGCTTCAAGAGCTATACCATTTGGAACCATGGTGAGTCATTTTATTGGAGAATTTAATCACAACTGTAGAGACAGAAAACTACAGGGTTTTTTTAATCTAAATACAATTATGAGTCATATCTTTAGCTTCCTAGTTAGAAATTTATTGTAGAAGGGGTTTAAGGTGCTTCAAGTATAATTCATTTTAGGAAGGGGCTTAGACTAGGGACTTAGATTTTTGGGGCTATCTCAAACCATGACAATCACAATAGTAACAGCTGCTGGATGCCAAACCCAATCTTCTCTCTGCTTAAAATGATACTTCTGCTTTGTGTTCAAGCTTAGTGTTTTAAAAACGTGGGAAGTTAACAACTTGAATTTTCTTCTGGATGGCCAATGCAAAATGGTTTTAATCTAAAATGAAATACAAAAGGATTCCAAATGAAAGCTACTTCCAAGTCATAGCAAGCAAGCAGAAAAATAAAAATAAATTATCAGGCAACAATATGAGATAAGACATTCTGAGATTTGTCTTTACGAAAATGACTTGCTGTTCTCACTTTGTGTAGTGTTATTTAATATCCAGTTATGGTCTTCTGTCTCTAAATTTACCCAATCACTTGAAAAACTATGCTGGTTGGATTACTTTTTCATTTTATCATGATGGCTGTCTTTATTTCTTGTGTCTTTTGTTGGGATTTTCTTTGTTGTGTTGGCCCTTTCAAGCAGCCTCAAATAATCCTGTGAATACAATGTAGGAAATAATCACTTACCACTTCAGCAGAATTTCTGTTTGGTCTTGCAAGGGGTATTATTTTAGAGCAGAAATTTTTTTGAAATACGCATCAAAAAATTGCTTTTTCTAATTTTGTGACCACTGTTAACTTATAAGAATATCTTCATACAGGGAGTCTTGTTTTCTTTTCAATGTCTGTAGCAAATCTTGGAATGTAACATTTTTTATAGCTTTCTTCTTTGCATATCAGTTTTTGTGATATGTTACATTTTTCAGACCATTCAGAGATTTTTGAGTGGCTTTGGATTTCTTCTTAGTTTAAATCTACCACAAAATGAAGCTTAGTATCAAAAGTTCTGTCTTACTGATTGTATTATTTGGGATATAATTGAATTCAGTACGTGACCAAAAATATTTCTTAAGAACACATTTTTAATGAATGAATGTGATAGACATTATAACTGATAATAAGAAGATAGACAATTCTCAGTTTCAGGGAAAGACTTTCAATAATTTTTTACTGATGGAAGAGTCATTAGATGTACGTTGCTGAATCTAGTCATCCTCTTATTAACAGTATTTCCAATGCATGCCTAAATATCAACTTTTTACATTGAATTCATTGTTTAAAAATCAAATATAATATATATTATTATTATTATATGTTATATACATATAACATTTACAAAACTAAATATAATATAAAGCTAAACGTGTTTATAAACTCTTCACCTTTTTTTTCTGGTTTTCTTCTTCAAGAAATTAGACTAACATTCTATCTTTGAATATGTTTGTATTAGTTGGTCAGTGCCCCAAAGCAATAGTGTATTGTTTTTTCTTTCTTACACTAGCAGCCATGTACAATACTGTCATAGAAGTTTACAGCACTGATCTTTGATATGTGCGAAGAGGCTCTGTTTTACTGCTGAGCAAGCCATTATGGTATCCCATTTCTCACTTGTATTCCCATTTGGAGGCCAGGAATGCTGAGGGAAGGGAATTCCACCTGTGCTGAAGTTTTTCTTGTGAATTCGTCCAACTGATTTGTATTTTAAGATCATGGGAACGTGCAAGCAAAAGCAAATGGATATATAAATCTTCAGGGGTCACTTAACCAGAATGTTAGGACTCCATACACAGTGATTTTAACGTTCACAAGGTTTTATGAGAGTGTTTGAATCATTGTGACTGTGGCAATAAAACTAGAGCGGAGTTAGCAGGCGAGCAGGTTATGAATCGGAAACTTCATCAGAATGAGCAACGCTCTAATGACTTCAAATCAACAAGCTGGTTTGTAGAAGGAAATAGAAATTGCTTGCAATTACCCCGTTATGCTTTAGGTTGAAGTCCCCAGGAAGCCCTCTGGCTTTATGGATAAGATACCTTTGTAGCTTTCCACCTTTGTTTTTAATGTAAAGAAGTGTCCAGAATTGTATAATGCAAACTTGCTGCTGCTGATTTCTTGGGGAAATAAAACCTCTGTCATCTAAATGTACTACAATACAGAAGTTTCTTCCTTTACCCTGGCATGTCTTGAAACCACTCTCCTTGATTTAAATTGCTGACAAGATTTGTCCCCTCTTCTCGACTACTGTAAACCTGGAAAAAGCACAAACTGAGTTGCTGAAAAAAGTTCCTGAACTAAAAGGATGCTGAGGCCATTCTTGAATGTGTCATCCTGTGCTTTGCCCATTTGGCATTGCCACTTCCTAGTGAACCTAGGGAGCCTCTGTGACTTAATTCCTCCCTCCAGACAGATTTTTCTATGGAATCTAGGCAAGGACAGCTGATAGTATCAAAGCCAAGACATCCAAGTTAACACCTAGTTGCTGCATCCTGGTATCCACTCTTCTACACTTTGTCTTGAAATGCTCAAATTGATTGGGCGCTTCAGGACTTTCATGCATCTCACCGACCTTGTACTCTATTTTGAATGTCAGAGCTTGTATAACTCATTCCTGATGTCTGGAATCTCCTCAAAGATGTGGCAGGACCTGCGAAGATCTCGAACTTCTTTCTGAATTCAGTCTTCACTCTTGGGACTCTGCCCTTAGCCCTTTTGGAAATATGTGCAAGCTGTCTTACCTACAGAGTGACAGACCTTCTGCAGTGAAATACACCATGAACAAAGCCTGAACAAAGCCTTAATCTCTTCCCTGGGATATCTTTCAGCTGGCCTTTCCTTCAGAATGCAGTCTAGAATGTCATAGATTTTATTCAAATATGAGAGCTTTTCAAAATTTTTTACTTTAAAGCTTTTCACTCCCTAGGCATATAAAGGAGATATAAAAATCTCTGCTTTTTTTCACTCGTCCCTTCACCTTTATAGAAATGCAATGGGTACTGTTCAATTATTCATCCTTTTGGAGCCCAGATTTAATTTTTTATGTGTATTTTGTTTATTATATCCTGTTACTGGTGAACATCAAGTTCTGAAGTTGTTGTACACCTTGACTTACCTTCTGTTGATGTTTGTCAGTCTTTTCAATGTATTTATTAATCATCTTTCTATTTTGTTGCGTTTGAATTAGATGTAAAAAGTGGAGCATGGAACATTTAAAAAGAATTTTAAATAATGGCATATGAAGTGACTTTTCCATATATGTTTGAGGAGCATGGTAGTAGTTCTGTGCAGCAATACTAAGTAATGAAGAATTTCTACTGAGTACAGCATGACTGAATTTGAAGGGGCCGTCTTAATTCGGGCATTTCATAAGTTGTGACTGCTTACGTTGTTCTGTGTGCAATACATAATTTAAAGTTTTCCATTAAGCCTGCTATGACTAATGTAATATTCTGACTGCAGAATCTGTGCAGCTTCTATTAACTGTTTAAGATGTACTGGTTTTGTTTTGTTTGAGCAGTAGGTTCCTTTGTGACTAACATTTCCAGTGTGCATTTTTAATGATTTAATTAAACAAGGTAAAGCACGCTGAATTTCTCTTGGGATTGAGAGACCCTGTTTGCATCTTTTATACCTTGTTTCGAAAAGAAGAAAGTGTTTCCTCCAATAGATAGCTTAATGCAGGCTGCGGTTTTCCCTGACAGGTTCGAGTTGATAGGAGTATTGACTGCCACTGAAAAAAAGAGGACCCGATAGTGCCAAAGATTTTCATTCCTTGAGCCAGATAAGGAAATACACCTGGCTAAAAATAGAAAAAAATCCTGTTACATACATTCAGCAGGGTGCTTCCTAAAATTGCTTGGAAGTGACTGTGGTACCCTTGGTCAAAACCCTTAGTTTTGCTGAAAATAGACACAGCTTAATGCTTCTGCTTACATTTTCAACAGTTCAATTTATTACCCAGAGCAGCACCCTAGATTAACAACTTACTTGTAATAAATTTAATACCACTTTATTTTGAAGCCTTCTATTCTTTTCTTGTTGCTGTAAGATGATATGTATTTTGGCCAGATGATATATTGGAAACTGTTGCACTAAACAAATTCAGTAACCTTTATATGGGAGAGAGTCTCATGACTGAGAGTGCTGTTTTGGTAGCTGACAGGAAAGATCAAGCTGCTGCTTTGACAGTTAATTTTTATTGCTTTTCTTCCCTGTGCATTAAGCAGTCAAGGCACCATAGCCTGCCAGTAGCTGTTTAATATTAGATATGCTCATAAAAATTTTAATTATCACCTTTGAATGAAGCTTAATCTACAGTTGTCAGAAAATATGAAACACATGGCACTAGGACATAAATTATATCCCTCCTGACAATGTTTCCTTTCAAATATGGAAAACCGAGTTCTGCACATTTAGTCAAGGACAGTAGAATATTCTTTCTCCATCAAAACAAAACAAAAAGGAGTTAAAATGCAGGCTTGGTGAGGTTGACAGTCTTTTCTATGGCAACTAAAACCTGCAAACTAAATCAGGGGTTTGTGTATAAATGAGATATTTTGTACAACAAAAATGCAACAGTCAAAACGGAATAAGTATTTTTTAATGTACTGTCTTGGTACAGAAACCCATGTAATTGGTCTTGAGTGATATGGCTTATAGAGAACCTGTGCTTGTTTGCTTTATGAAAAAACAGTTTTGTAGATGTAGTATATTTGCCTCTTTGCATAATCTGTGTTTTATGAATTGGTAGTTAAAGTGGTTCTTTGAGGTTATCTTGGCTGATGTTACAGTAGTACTTCTCTTAAAAGGCTCACAAAGACCTAACTTTCTTATCTCTGCCTGTCACATAACAGCTATTATTAGGGTTTGGGTTTTTTAGTGTGTTACTGGTGACCTCTGCAGGGAGGCTTCTGCAGGAAGGTAGGGCAGGTATGTGTCTTGATCCTGCCTTCATTTCTTCTTACCATTTCTGATGGTGAAACGGAGGCCAGTAAGTGCCTGGACTGCTTTTCCTGTTGTACTCTTGCTCTCAAAAATCTTGTAGGCATAAATCTCATAATTTCATCATTAAGATACTTGTGTACCCCAGTGCCCTGTGTTTGCTTCAGTTTGGATTTAAACTCTGTAGGTTTAGATACTGCCCAGCCTGCATCATCACTGTCCTTGCCATCTGTGGCAACAGGGACCACCTGCTTAGTTTGGGGGGGGCACTCTCTTCACCTTAGATCTGAAATTAAGAGGAACATACCTGAAAAGATCAAACATCCAGCTATCTCCAGTCATCTCTCACATCCAGGGAAGACTGTTACTACCAAGAGTGAAGAAAGTCATTTCACCAGTTATCAATCTGAGCAGGTAGACTACCAGTGATTCAGACAGCAAGAAAGAAGATGCTACTGAATTCAGCATGGTGTGTACAACCAGGACCAGTTGTGTTGGTCAACCTACTAAGACCAGCAAGTTGCTGTCAGCAGGGTGGGCTTATCTCAGAAGACAAAACATTCACGTCTTTATCATTTTGGACAGCTTATCAGAGGCAGGTGGGAGTAGAAGGCATTCCTGAGTCTGTGCTATGGCCTGTCCTTCCTTGCTTGATTGGGTTTCCTTTGCACTGCAAAATCATCTCAGATAACTTTATACTCCTAAATGGCTCCATGAAAAAAAGGAAAAGAATGTGCTTCACTTTCCACTGTCCTCAGAACATAGCGTAGCACTGACAGACGGCAGTTCACTGTTTAACAAAACGGTGACTTTATCTAATGCTGCTTACTGGGTCTCACTGAAGATGCCATCTGGTCTGTCTGAGATCAGTTCATTTTTCAGCTGATGGTTAGTGTAATGTAAGATGCTGCATCAGTATCAGTCATGCTTTGACTGATCTGATAATGAAATCACAAGCACTCAGATTTTCTGACAGATGCCAATTATAAGTGTACTGTGGGCTGCTTGACTGTATTTACTGAAGCCATTATTTAAGGACTCTTGGTCTGTCTCAGCTTGTTTTATGCAGATAAACACTTTAGATTTCAAAGCTGCTGTGTAGTCAGTTTTCTGGATAACACAACAGCCAAGCCCTGCTGGATCAAGTTGGGTCTTCTCCTTGCCCACCTGATTTGAAGCCATTCAGCTCTGCAGTGCATGTCACTAGAATGAGATGCTACTGATAGCCTTTTTTCATCTAGGAGTTTGCCAGCTAATCAGTAATTAGGCCTGGATGTTCCTTGCTTGGGTCCTTGTCCAGGGTTATATTCTTTCTATATAATTCCCTATAATAGACATGCTTTACCAGATGGACAAATACAAGCTACTAAGTCTTGTTCCAGGTGATCTCAGAATCCAAGGCTGTTCCCAGACAGTTTCTTTGTGCAATAAAGCAGTGGATTCACTTTCTACCACTGTTCCCAGACAGGGGAAATTTCCGAGATCAAGAAATTAAGCTACAGTCATCTTGATAGATGCAAAAGACAGTTGGGGCTGGATGAGCAGTACAGATGCCCTTTCATGCTGCCTGGGTCTGAGCTTTTTGCCTCAGCCAGGTATGAAACCTACCTGCTAGAACACCACAGATCACAATGGGCAGGGGCCACTTGACACACCAGAGGGCCTTGCTGCAGGAAGCAGAGCACACTTTTCTTGAAAATGGAAATGGTTTCAATATATTCAGATCAGAAATTCTTGAACCCTATCCAGACCTTAATTTTTGAACATCTCTTCTAACCATTGCACTTCAAACAAGCTGGGAATTTTTGGTGAGGATTTTAATAAAGGTAGGACTCCAGATGATGTTGTTTGATGTTTCTGATACTTTTTGACATTTTTCTCTGAAAATTCGTCTGCTCATTCATTTAAACTGAGTAGTTTTCAAGGGCAGAACCTGCATCCATTAATGGAGCAAGTTGTATACTTCTGCTGTAATTTATTCTTGGGCAACCTCAGTGTCCTATCTAAGGCATTATGCTTGCTTACCTGTGGTTTGTTTTGAGTAATGGAAGATAAATAGGAGCTACTAAATATGAATTAATTGTGTAAAAACTGCTTTATTATTATATTATTTATACTGCAAGTGTAAGTACTACTTAGCTTCTCCTTATTTACCATTGAAGCTTCATATTTTAGTGGCTCATGATGTAATTCTTTAATAACCTTTCCTCAAAGATATACAGAGCAGTCTGGAAAGTGCTTCTGCTTGTTGACCACCAGTTTGGTGTTCCCCTTCTGTGAAGTATGAAGGCTTGCTCCATCCAGCCCCAGGCAATGTTTTCCATTCCCCTCTGACCTAATGATATACAAGTCATTAATAGAGGAATAATCCACTGACTTTAGTCAAATGTTGCCTTAAACTTGTGTGATTCACCTAATGCTGAGTTTGTATTGAGTTAATGTAGTTCTTGCTTTTCAGCTGCTTGCAGTAGATTTCTGTAGGTATAACATACATGAACAGCTTTTATTTATCCTTGGAGTAACTGTTTCTTAAGCAAGTCAGTGTGTGACTCTTAAACCTGTCCATTGTTCTGCATTAATGTGCTGCCATGGTTTGCATTCTGATGGAGTGCAAGATGAATACAGCTTCTTTCTCAGGAGGCACCAGGGTGTACACAGAGCCTCAGGCAACAGTGCCATTAAAAGGCAGTATTTTCATATGTTTGCATAGAAAAGGTCACAGGGTCAGCATTCAGAACTGTGGTTATTGCATTATGTGCAACTGTTCTGTCTTTAATTATCAATATCAAAAAGTTACTGAACTGTCTAATGCTAATTCATTTTGTGCTAAAGAGTTAAGAGTAGTGAAGGTCTTGGTAAACACTTGAAATTTTCCTGTTTTGGAAGATAAACTATGTTGCCTTCAAGGAATAGCAAAAATAGAGCTATATAAGTATACTAGCAAACAAAAGATGATTTATGGTAAATTTTTAGGGAGGTTGTTCCATTGGAAAGAGCTGGAACACTGGCTTGACTTTGCTGCATTGTGCATAAACTTGGTTTCTCCATGTAAGTAGGGCCATTGTGCTTCTAAATAGTAATCTTTGCATACCAGTGGTCACTGTTTACTAGTTCAGTCTACGTTCTTAATAACCTAGTCGGTGCATAGTAGAAAAAATTGAACCCAAAATTTTGATTGGTGACATTCTGACATGGCTTTGCAGTTCTTGTTTGGGTCTTTTTGAGACTGGATTAAAAGTTTTGCACCTAACAGTTGTAATCTTGTATGCAACTGCCTAGCTGCTAGATGTTAATTCCCAGGGATAGCACTCTGCAAAAGTGTAAGAGACACTGATGACATTTTCTGTTATGAAGTACCATGAAGATTTCCTTTTATTTCCTGTGCAGTGTGTTGAGTATAATGATTAGATGGAAACAGTAAAACAGTCTGTAATGGTTCTGTTCTCTCGACTGATTCATGAAAATATGCTTAATAATGTTTATTAGAAAGTTTCTCAGGAAAAATATGCTTCCATTTGATAAACTAGGTATATGTTGACTAATGCTTCATAGTAGGAGTATAAGTCTACAGCAATAACTACTTAAGTCTACAGCAATAACTACTAAGGACTAATATTGGTTGGTTATCTTCTTTTGTTGTCTTATATGTGTTTTTTTAAATTACAACTTCAATTGTTTTGCTTACAGGTGGCAGTGTGCTGTATTTGTTTCTTCGTCATCCTTCCACTGAACCTGGTTGGTACGATTCTTGGCCGAAATCTGTCAGGACAGCCTAATTTTCCATGTCGTGTCAATGCAGTGCCTCGTCCCATACCAGAGAAGAAATGGTAAAGATGAGCATGAATGTTAACTAGAATTAATCACTTCTGTACATTTAAAATAACTTCTAAAAATAACTTCTTCAGTTTTTCTGAAATAACTTTTTATTTAAATTGAGTCGTGTCTAAAAGAACAGCTCAACTGGTGTTTTCTTAATATGATTTTTCTTCCGAGTTAAAACACCACGGTTAATAGTTGTAGCAGACTTTACACTCCTGGATTGCTGAATCACATTTTGCCTGAAATGTTTTTTAGTCCCTTTATAAAGGGGATGGAGCCAATGCAGTTCTTGTCTAGGTATCTTGAAACTAAAACCTCTCCTCTTTAGTTAATGCCTCTTAGAGGTTTAGGATTGAGTGTGCCTTGGAGGCAGAACTGTTCTGATTAATGGTCTCTGTGTATAAGCTGAGACATATTTGCAGGGTGATGGTGGGAGAAGCTTGCAATGCTGTTCCCAATTCTGCACTTTTTTTGATGGCACAGAGCCTAAAATATTACAAGTATATGGTTTGAATTGTGAAGAAGCCTTCACTATTTTTGAAGTGAATGTAAAGGGGTGCCTAGTCTCAAAAAGTACACTTAGGTTTTTGGAAAATTATGAATGCAGTCACTTTTTCCTATTAATTTCATTCTGAAGCAGAAGCAGCAAGCTATGGAAATTAAAATATCCTCAAAGGATTTTTTAAATAGATTTTTCTTGCTTTCTCTGTTCAGAGGAATGGAACAGACAAAGTGAAGGGGGCACTGAAACATGTACGCCTGTGATGTCCAGGAAGTGCAGCACACTAAGTCTCTTTTTAGTAGTGACTTGTGCAGCTCAGATGCTAGGAAGTGATTTATATTGTGACCTGTATCTTGGGAATCTGATGGATTTTTCTGGATCAGCATGACAGATAAAAAGAAGTAAGATACTTTTCTTGAAGATGATGAAATAGCACACCATCAACTTAGACAACTCTCCCTATAAATAATAAAAGAAGCTGCAAATTAAATCACTGGTTAGTAGTTAGATTCAGCATCATCACAAGTACTACACAGAGGTCACCTTTAGTAAGTGACAGTATCATCTACAGGTAGCTGAGCATTCATTTTTAGCCATATGTTCATGACTCAGTATAGCATTAAAAATAAACACTGGTTCTTAATTATATAACGATTATCCTGCAAAATTTAGTTTGTACTGTTTGCTGTGTTTGTAGCCATCAACAGCACTGAGTTTTCACTGCCTTCATTCGAGGCTAGTGGATGTCATGAGGCTTGATTGCTTAGTCCTCTTTTGGGCAAGAGAGCTTTTTGTGGCTTTAAGGTTGGTTAGATGGCTAACCTTATTGCCTGGAGGTGATAGGTATGAGTGTTATGTTCCTGAGAATAACTCCTTCTTTTATCCCTACCCATGACATTTTTGAGGGAATCTTCATTCTCATATGCTGATATGAGACAGAAATGTTCTTCATGCCTTTTAAATAATGCCCTGTGCTATATTAATTATCTGGTCTTAATATGCTTATAAATGAAAAATTAAAATTGTCCCTAACCTAATCTTAATATCTTTCAGGTTCATGGAACCAGCTGTTATTGTTTGCCTGGGTGGAATCCTCCCTTTTGGATCAATTTTTATTGAAATGTGAGTATGTCAGCTATTTGACAGCTTGATTAAAAATTATAGTATTTTAAGTTTAATTACAATATCATCTGCACATTTTTTTTTACTTTCTACAGGTATTTCATTTTTACTTCATTCTGGGCTTACAAGATCTACTACGTTTATGGCTTTATGATGTTGGTTCTGGTTATCCTCTGCATTGTGACAGTTTGTGTGACTATTGTTTGTACGTATTTCCTGCTAAACGCAGAGGATTACAGGTGGTAAGTATTGCATAATTTGCATAGTGAACTAGACTGTGAGAGTTTTGTAGAAAAGTAGTGTTTCTTCAGTCTAGATGGGTCTTTTCCAAGTGCCTTGTACATCTTCTTGGGAAGCCTTTTGGCTAGATGCATGATGGACGTGTGTGTTTACTTCTAGGCAATGGACGAGCTTTCTTTCTGCGGCATCCACTGCGATTTATGTTTACATGTACTCCTTTTACTACTACTTTTTCAAGACAAAGTAAGTGGTAGTTTTCTTGGTTGAATATCAGATTACTGTAGTGCCAAGTAAGTTTATTGACAAAAAAACGGAGGAAAACACCTAGCATAAATTCCTGTCTTTCTTTTTCAGGATGTATGGCTTGTTTCAGACATCATTTTACTTTGGTTATATGGCAGTATTTAGCACAGCTTTGGGAATAATGTGTGGTAAGTTTCAGATATTTTGACATTTTTTTAACAGAATTTTTCAGACTGTCATATTTCTGAATTTAGCTTATGGTTTTGGTGGTGGAATGTGTGTGTCTGCAAGGTCTGCTCAAAAAAGCTTAGAATCTTTAAAAAGAATCTGAAGAGTTCTCTGCTTATACTTTGTTCCTACCTAATATAGAAGATTTTTGTGTATTGTGTCTTCTGGCAGAAAGATAATTTATGCACTGTGCAGAGAATTTCACCCTCAATGCAAGCTTGAAAGACTCAATATTTGGGAAGAAATTCTGCAAAATAAATTCCAAATTAAGTTGAATCCATGCTAGCATTTTGCTTCACAATTTTTACTGTTGCCTCAAGACAAGGAGCTGGGACATCCATTGAAGCATAAATGTTAGCACAATAGTGATGACAGTACTGTCTGTATCTTGTGGCATGTGTATATGAGGGTGACCAGAGCAGAAAGGGCTGAAACTTCAGTTCAACATTTGACAAATAAGTATTGAAATATTCACAGGTGAGGAGAGTGCAGAGTGCTCCTGTGTGCAGCTGGATTTCATTGCTTTTTTAAGATACTGTTTTGACAGTGTTTAGAGAAAAACATAGTTCGTGGCATGGAGGTCATCTGATAAAGTCAATTCAATTTGTTCACCTGTTAACTTTATTTTTATCTTCTTATTTATGACTTTCAGAAAGTGCTTCTTGGTTCTTTTGCACTTTTCTATGATGTTATTTGCTTTTTATGTTTGATCTTTATTTAATGCTTCTTAGCAGTGAATGAATAGTCCTGTAACTAATGGGAGGATTTCTTTTAGTTTATATGAGACACATGATGTCTTACAGGAACTTAATTCTGTAAAGTATAGATTTCCAGATATCTCAAGAGAGCGGGTAATATCACAATGCTTTATAAAAAGGGGAGGAAATTAATCTCTTAACTGTTGAGTACCTGTTCCCCTTTTCCCTCATACAGTCTAATCTTGCTTCATCAGGTTCTTGGCACATTACAGGACTTCCCTGCTGTTTTGGTAGTCTTGCAGCCATTTTTTTTTCTTTAATAGGCTTATACTTTTCAGCTCTAATCTTTTCTTTTTAAAGTGCTCAGGCTGGTATTGATTAAAATGTATATGATGCAGAAGCCAAGCTTGCCCACCAGTTTCTGTAATTAAAATGTTTTTTAAAACATGGAAAAGGAAGATTGTCAAATGCTTTCTACTCATGGTAGGACACTATTTGATGGAATATTAGAGTAAAATCCAAATTTATTCAAAAACAGAAAATACTTTAGCACACTAAACTTTATTTCCATAGCACTATTGAGATTTCTTTTTGTCTTTTTAAGTGTGTTGGAAGAGAAGCTGTGAGATTCCTTTTTACTGAGAACTCCCATTTTCAGCATGTGGAGTGAAGAAAAAAAATCCCCTGTCAAAAAGCATTTGTCTAGGGAACTTGCAGCCATTGAGGTCTAACAAAGACATTTGTGTTAAGGAATTGTGCAGTGTGCGTGCTCCTGACTGTACGTGTCCTGTGAAAAGTGTGTGGAGCTGTTCTGTGGGGGCTCACGCGAATGGGCGCGTTCGCTATCACACAGTTGGGTATGAGACCAACTCGTTAGGGCCCAAAGCAGCAGCAGGGGAACTCTCTGTAGGCATGTATCATCCAACTCTGGGTTTAATGCCCTTGACAATGCCTAGTGAACTCAAACCCCACATGTAGTGGGATGCTTTGATCCACAGAGTTGGCTGCTCTCTGCAGAGCATCTCAGTTCTGGGGCTGGACAGTAGGGAGCCCATGAGAACTTCCAAACCTTTTGAGCTCCTCATGTTTCCCTTTCCTCTTAGTGACAGAAAAGAATAAAACTTATTCCCCAACTTAGTGGATGGCTTAGGAGCTACATAGTATAGAAAGGCCTCTTGCAATACCACACTTCAGCATCCAAATAAATACTGTAAGTATGCCTGAAGGGCTTTTAAAAAAAATTCTGTGCTTACAAAGTCACAACTGTAGTAAGTGTTAATTGGTTTGAAATAATAGATGGGAATTAATCCTTTTTTTGTTTTGTAGTTGCTCTTCCTAAATATTTGGATATTTTTCTTTATTTAAAAGCTTGTTCTGCTGAAATATGATTGCAGTCTATTTCCACTAAACCTATATAGGCCATAACCAAGTTATAAATATCATCTGGTAAGGTGTTTAATACATAAATAAAATATTTCTCTTTACTGTGTTTTTTTATTCAGATGAGCCAGCTGCCCTGCATTTGATTCAGGAGGACATTCTTTAGTCCTCATTGCCTAGGCTTTCCGCCTCCCTGCCCCATGTTTTATTCAATGCCTGTGAAGTAGCCTTGAGGCTTAACCCCTGCCTTGGGTATTGGCCACTAGTGGCCTTCATGGATAAGGCTCCTGCGATTCAGAATAGGTTATGATTTGTTTATGGGGATGAGAGCTTGTGGTCTCATGTGACTGCTACTCTCTACTCATCCCCCTCACTTCCATCTCATCCATTCTCTAGATCCCAAATGAAACACAGTTAATGCTTTGCTCTCTCAAGTCTCTGTGATACCTGGCATCACATCACTAGAGGAACTCTCAACGAACAAGTTCTGGAATGTATCTGAGTTTAGCAACTAAAATGGGCCTTGGGTCTATTGACAGTGTTTGCTTTAACAGGAAAAACATCATGAGTGTTAAAACAAGAGTCCCGTGCCATTATTTTCTCCGTTTACTGCATAAGGCAGATTAATTTCTTGACAAGCTGCAGAAGAATCTGCATGTTCCTCTGTATGATTCCAAGCTCACATCACCTCTCTTCACAGCCTGCATTTGGGTCTGTCCAAATGCTGTAGTGGTCTCTCCTTGAAAGGGCAGGCTTGCAAGCAACATCCTGATCTTGTGTATGCTGTATTTGTTTTAATTGAACCCTACTTTACCCAAATTAGTAATGCAGATCTCTTGTTTGCTGGCCACCTGAATGGTTGCCATGATATTTATACAACTTGAAATGCTATGCAGTACAGAAACTGACTCCACGGGGTCTTTACCACTCCAAAAACATTGAAATGATGCATCAGGTCTGCCTTGTGCAGATTTCCTGATTAGGTCTGAATTTTGGGCTTTTGAGGGTCTAAAAATCAAAATCTTGTGACTTCATAAATTAACATATCATCCCCAGGATTTAAAGAACTCTTCCAAGATCTGAATAACTCCTTAGACAGCAATGCCAGCTGCAGGTCTCTATGGCCGTAATTTATAAAAGCAGAAAACCCCCTTTATATTTGTACTGAAAAATGAAAGTTTAGCAGAAAACTTCTAGCGTTGGTTAGACTTTTGTATTTAACATGTCTTCTGCAATTCTGATGCATCCTAGTTCACTGCAAATGTTTCATGCTTTGCTCTGTATTGCTTCAAGGAAGGAAAAATATCTTTTCTCTGTTCTTTACCAAGCATCCAATCATTTAATGTTAGGTGTTCTCTGTAGTCAGTTAGAGATCCTGACTTCTCCATCCTTCCCATACTTTATGACTGTGCTGGCGGTCTGACAGCAGTAGTCTAATTCTTGCTTGATTTTCAACTTCATTTCAAACACGATAGTTAGCCAAACTGACTGACTCTCATTTTGGTTGGAAGAGATGAAGACATTCCCTGTGGATATTATAAGACCACAGTATTTACTGAGCCTGGCAAACCTGGGGTTCTGGGTTTGACCAGGTAAGTTGCTGAATCTCTTTCTGAGAAGAAGTCTTGGTCCAGTGCATGTCTTTCATTTTTCTGGATGTCCTTTGTACTGCAGTATTTTGGGTTTAGCATAAACTGTTGCCCCTATCAAAAACCCAGTGACCTGTTCTTTTATTACTGCTGTGACAATGCATACTCTGCTCATGACTCTTACTAATTTGAAAACCACAGGTTGCAATTTCCTTTAACTACTAACTGCTACTTGTTTAATCTCTTTGTACAGACCTCCTTGGAGTGTAAGACTCCTGGGATGGGGATCTATTATTATTTGTGCCTTGTGGGAGGGAAAAAGCCATCTGCCAATAAAACACTCATCCAGAAGGCATGTAACTTATAATAAAAACCTGCCCTCCCATCCACCTTCCCTGCAGAGTGGGTGATTGTGTGTTTTTTACCCTCTGTTCAGAAAAAATGGACCCGGTTATTGGCAGCAGTAGGGGGGCTGCTATATTTATCGAGGCCAAGTGAGCATGGCCTCTTGGTAAGATGGCTTAATGGATTTAGATTGCTAGACTAGGGAAGTTCTTGCCAGACGTTCAGGGGGAGCATGGATAATTGGAGTTTGAGAACAAGTACTGCAGGTAGATAATTTTCTGTGTGCAGAGTGCATGCTTTATGTGACTTTCTCTGTTTAAGTGTGTGTGGTTTATATTGCTGTTTTACTTTGATCAGCTCTCTAACATATTCAACGTTTTTGGTTTATTTTGCAGGAGCCATTGGTTACATGGGAACAAGTGCCTTTGTTCGTAAAATCTACACTAATGTGAAAATTGACTAAGGAAATAAGAAAATTGAACTATGGATCAGTTCCTCTTTTCCTGGGGATGAACTTGCACAGCAAAAAGCGCGAGAAGAGATTTGGGTTTTAACACTGGGCACTATTTGGGTCTCCATTTTGTGGATGGCTTAAAGTAACATCTATTCCATTGATCCTAGGTTCTTACTGACTGCTTTCTCCAACTGTTCACAGCAAATGCTTGGATTATATGCAGTAGGCATTACTACAGTACGTGGCTAATCTTCCCCGCCCACCCCCCCAAAAAAAACCAACATCAAAAAACAAAAAACCTAGCTCATTAAAGATGAATAGACTAGCTCTCTTCAGTGAAGAGGACAAACGGTTTATTTAAAGCATTTGTTCCATTCAGTAAAAAGAGGGAAACTTGGCTGCTAAAACTACTTGATTAGTAGTCTTCCTGGTACTTAACATTTCTAAATTATGTAAAAATACCGTTCCAGAAAGATTACTCTTCTGATTTTTACTGCCATTGACCGGATAGGAGGTATGTTTTATATTTTGACTCCAGGTGCTTTTTGGTTTATTTGCGATATCAACTACCCTACATTCATTTGTTTAAAAAAAAATTAAAAATATATAAAAAACCCATATGCATGTAATATATCAGCTGTTGTTCTAGTTGGACCAACTTCCCTTTATTTATCTTTAAAGTAATATCCAGCTACATCTTAAATCCATCCAAAGAAAATACAGTCTGAAGACGGAGTGTGATCTCTGCAATGCAATTTACTGTACAGTTAGAAAGCAAAATGTTAAATGAAAAGGATTGTTTGTTTTTTAATGAACACTCTAAGGTCTAGATTAAAACAAAACCAACATTTTAACTGAATGTCTAAAGTGATTCTCCTTTTTTCCAAGTTAGTCTTGCATTTTTTTTGGGTTTGGGTTGAATGAAGATTTTCCTTTAGACATCATACAAGGGGTAATAAGTGTATATAACATTAAATAATGTAACTTAGGTGTAGATCCCAAATGTATTTGGATGTACAGATTTACTACAGAGTACTTTTCTGATGATTCGGTGTAAAAATGTGTGAATTCGGGTGGCTTTTTACATCTTGCCTGCCATTGCATGAAAATTTGGGGTTTCTTCACAATGTGTGTATGTCATGCTTTTCTGTTCTATTTCTTTTCTCAAGCTCTTACAGGAATTAAATTTGTAATTTAGAACATTTTAATTTTTGTTAATCCTATCTGAACACTTGTGTAACATCAAAAGCACAGTTGCTTTAGAGTGTTCAGAAAACTAAAATAAACTTTTCAGACAAAAATGTATTGATTGTGAAAATAGATGAGTTTGCAATTGAAAATGTTTGAAAAGGGATTACTGCTGAATGCCAGTTTCTGTATACAGTATAAGTGTGGTTTTCATCTATCCAACCCCCCTGCTTTGAATTCAGAATTTGCTTACAACTATATTGTACAGTATAACTCCAAAGTGAATGATCAACCCAAAAAGATTCTTCTTGGCTGTGGAGAAATCTGTTTTGTGATACAGCCAGTGTACTGGGAAAAGTTGGGGTAAGTGTGGACTAAAATAAATGGGCAAATAAAGGTTTAAGTCTTTATAAGATCACTGTTAATTATGCACTGTATTTAGCTAGAAATATCCTGAATGTGTTTGTGACAGATTTGAGAGCCACTTGGCTTGATTTTTTTAATGGGTTTTTTTTAGGCATCTGCCATGTAGGGATGTTTTGATCAGTGTGGCTGTCTGAAATAGAACACCTGCCATGGAGAAGGCAACTTCTTGAATTTAAAAAATGAGCCAAGTATTTGTATTGACTAGCAGTGTATTGTCTCTCTATAAAGAGTACTGATAATGCAGTAGCCACAATGAGAAACATCCGTGTTTTGGCAGCGTTGGGTTGGAGCCTGGGGGAACTCTACAGGTAGGTAATAGTGGGAAGCAGTGCATCCTGCTGTATGTCTGAAAAGTGTTTGAGCTTTCAGCTCTGATTTCCCTGGCCAATTTTAACCAGTCTGTCCGAAAATAATTAAGTTTTGCTTCAAGTGAATCATTGGTATCTGTAGGTGAACACTCTGCTGTTGAATAAAATAATTTTTTTTAGTTTTAAAGTACAGGCTGATTTTAAGATGAGCTTATAAACTAGGTCAATAGTTATTTTTCCTTTGTTCCAAAACATGGAGACTTAAAGCAAAGTCTGGATATTGTACTAGTACTTCTAGTGCATACAGCTGTGGGAAGCCCTCTTTTCATCCATATTCCTCTAAATCTGAAGTGAGAAGCCATTATCTCCACACAATATATACATTAAGTACTCTGCCAAGTTACAAGTTTTTTTAAAGGGAATATTTTGATAATGAGTCCGTTTCTCTATTTAGAATACTGCTATATGATTAGTCTATCAGAAATGTCACTAAACTCTTTGTGAATTTCATTTAATCACTTTTTAATGCCACAGAATGGTGGGCTGCCTACTTGCTTTCTCTGTCCTCTGGCATTATTAGCTTTCACATATCCAGATAGGATTGTATATCTTTTAAAGTGACATTGAAAAGATAGATACTGCACAGGCATTGCTTTCATTTCTGCAAGCAAGTTCCTCCAGAGAAGTACTATGTTTAAATAATTGACATTTTTATACATCCACCCTAGCACGTAAGTTGGGGGTTTTCTTTGTTTTTCCCCTTTTGGTTTCTGAAGGAGTGCAAAATGTGACCAGTCTTCAACAGCTTGTCTTTATGGTTGCTGTTTGGGGGAAGGCTATTTGTCCTCCCCCTCTCCTCCCTCCTATCCCTCCTCCCCCCAAAAAACCCCATGAGTGCAGCTTAAAACACCTTGCTTAATAGAATTTGGAAGCTCTCTGCTTAGATGATGTAGTCCTTCTTCTTTTATGGAAGAAATAAAGTTCTTACAGACAACACTCCTCTTAACATGGTTGTTTCTTAGGAGTTTCTGGTTCTTGAATTCAGGCTTTTTGATAACTTTTCAATTGGCCGGTCAGTGCATCTCTTCCCACTGCTGGTACAGAGGCCAGGGAATTGAGTAAATAGTTGCATAAGCAATAGCCAATCTTGACCAAATGTTTTAGATAAGTACAACTGTAAATCTTTTCAGTTGAGGCAGAATGCATATAGAAAACACCTCTGGTATTTTGTGTATGAAAATTGGTGAAAGCTGGACTGGAGGTAATGGAGACTGCAAATAAACATTACATTATGCTCTCTCTGATGTCTGAATGTTGTGAAGCAACAATGTCTATTAATTCCTCTGCAGAATTACATTCGAAATTGTGTACAGGGCACACAAATTGTTTTCTGTAGGGTAGTCTTAGGTGTATTTCTTTAACAAGTTTCAGGACAAAAAACAAACCCCAAACCCTAATACTTTTTGCTCTTATGGTACTAAAGCCAGGTAAAATTGACAGCACATTCTTATCAGTGTCATTACTGCAGAGCTAACACAAAGGAGAAAGTTACATTTTGCTCTGGCTTCAGCATCACCAGCATCTAGCCAAATTTGCCAATGAAGTATATATACACAGCCTCACTGAAGACAGCAGAATTCTGTAATTGTGCGTGCATCAGCAGTTTTTCCACTGGAATGTGTCCAGGAAGCATCAGCTCAAGAAAAGACAAGTCTCCTCTCCAGTCTGTGGACAAGTAAGCTGAATATTTGGAGCTGGAGTAGAGGGGTCCTGTTGTCTTGAATGCATTCTTAACTGTGCAGCTTGTGGTTCATTTTAAGTCTGTTGGAACTGTAGATTGAAAAAGAATTCCAGTTCTGGATCCCTTGGATCTTTCCTAGCTAAATGCACTACGGTAGAGCAGCCTTGCAATAGCTGTTGGCACTGCTGCTGTCTAAAACAGGTATGTGTCTACCAGGGTTAGCCATGAAGTCATGAAAGCCCCTGCTTGTTGGACTTCTGTTGGAATAAAGCCACACTTGAAAGTTTTGAAGCAGTGTGTTTATGGCTTGCATTCTTCAGGAGCATCGTACCCCAGGAGGGAAAAAAAGTTTTGGTCCAAATTGTTTTCCAAAGCCTCTCAAGGGAACATTTCCATTTTGCTAAGTGGCTTCAGTGAGAAAATTCTCGTAACTTGCAGAGGAGACATCTGCATGTGAGTTCTACAAGTAGTTCCTCACAGCTTGTGCTTTTCTCTGGTAGATGCTTTTTCAGTTCAGAGAAGGGACTGTTACAGTATTTATTTTCATTATTAGTTTGGTGCTTCTGAAATTTTTCCTCCAATTTTTGGGTTATGGCTTGAGGGGGGCGGTGTGGAATTGTAAAGATGATGAGAGAACCCATGAAGCTGGAAGGCTTTGTGCAGTTCCAGGAAATTCAAGAAGTTCTTGGAGAGAATCATTTAAAGGACAGAAACTCGGGAAAAGGATAAGAAAAAGGCTTTTTTATCTGGTGGACTAACCTATCTTGAAGACAGGCCTGGAGACAAATTTGCTGTCACAGTGTCATTGCCCCCAGTCCTGTACCAGTTCTTTTATTTTCATCAGTGTACTTGCTAAGGTGCAAGGCTTTTGCAATAAACCAAGGACTCATGGGCCATAAACAAGGGGGATCTTATTAGCTGCTACCAACATGTTTGGCTTGTTGATACATTAATTTTCTCACCAGCTCCTAATAATACAATACAGAACAATATATCAAATCTCTGGAGGTTCTAGCATGCTGAGGCTTCTTTTCTTATGAAAACCAAACCCATTGGAACTTTTCTTACATTCTAGATAGAAGATCTCCTTCAGAATCGGGCTTGGAGCATTCCAAAACATAACTGTACAAGCTCATTCTTATCCTTCAGCTGGCATTATGTGACTACACAGTCCACAAAATACATGCATTTTTAGAATTGAGAGTTTATGTACAATTACAGATCTGTGATTTTAGGATTCTCCTAGTATTGTGAGGCATGCCTACCCATATGATGCAGTAGTTACCTAGATAGATTCCAATTCACCAAAGCCTAGACCTAAACCCTATAAACTGGAAATCCTGGATCTGGGAAAAAAAAGTCCAGTCTCTCGCAGTTCTGTCTAACAAGCTGACTAACCTAGAAAAACATGCTACAGTTAGATACCACATGTATGTGTAAATATTTTTTTCCTGAAGACTGTGTGTCACAGGCATTTCTTTGATTTCTGAAATGTTTTGAGATCTGTAGTAACTTAACTCCTGAGAAGCTTTCAAACAGGGCAGAGAACATCGTGAGAACATTACACAATACTGAACCTGAGGAAGTTTTTGTGGATGCCCATTCTCATTTCCCAAAGGTTTGTATCAGGAATGTCAGAATGTGGGATATATTAAAGCACTAGGCAAGGCACAGTGCTTTTCTAGTGCTTTCACTAGTGCTACTAGAGATGTAATTCTCCTTTTGATTTAGTTTTATGTTGTTTTTTCATTCTGAATCACTAGTCTTATCATTTGATTGGGCTCAGAAAAGTGGGTTATGTAATTAGCTTAGTGTGAGGCTTTTCTTGCTCTGCTACAGAGGAGTAACTGCAAGAATGGGATGGAAATTTTCTCCTCATTTCCTTATAATATCGGGCCAGAAGTTGGCAGGTGAATAATGAGCATGACCTACTGTTTGTTTTACAAAGAGATGTGACAGTTTTTCAGTCAGGCACCCATTAACCTGCAACAGTTGGAGATCTGTGTAATAAAATGTTGAAGAGATGCCATTAAGTTACTTAAGTTCTGCATTCAAATTCTGCAGAATCATTTCTTGTAATTTGAAATTGTTTAGCTGAAAGTTGATTTTTGTTGAGGATAGTTTTCAATTTATTTCACTATCAGAAAGTGATCAAACACCCGCCTTTGCCTGAAGCTGAAATTACAACATTTTTTAATTATATGTTTAGTGAAATAAATAATGAAAAAGGAAATCACTATTCCTTGTTTTAGTGATCTGAAGGATGACTTGTAAGATGAACCTATTTTGAAGTATTGCTTACCCAATGAGAGGAAATACCTGCATGTTCTGTGCCACAGCCAAGTGTGTGGTTTGGATGAAGATGTTACTATAGATAAATCTATGTACAAAAATCCTGTGCAGAAACTGTAACTGGGAAAATTCTCTAAGGCAATTCTTCATGAAGCAACGTCTTTTCTGAGAGATTCATTAAATTCTACCCACTTGTGAAACAGCCTAAACACAGGTAGCATATGCTACCAGCCTCTGTAAAGGATGCCTGCCTGTGAACAGGGAAATGCAGCTATCCCATCTTTGTCTCATAGCAGAGGACTGGAGAAATGTTTATACTCTACCAGATTTATTCCTCTATGCAAAGAGAAAAAAATAAGACAGAATTTTTCCTATGGCAAAAAATACTTTGAAAAAAACAGTGGATTCACCTTTTGAAATTTTGAACTGGCAGATGCTTTTCCAAAGATGTTCCCATGCCCTTCTGCTTAACCTTGCTGCAGTGATCACCGAAACCACCAGCTTTGCTCAATGCTTTCCAAGCACAACTGACTCCTGTATGAACCCTGAAAATGGATTTTAAGTGAAGTAATGAAACATCAGTTTGACATGCCTCATTTTGGGAACCAGTGGTCAAGCCAAAATTCATACTTCCAGACAAGAC